TGTAGGTCCGTGTCTGTGCAAGCTGTAACTTGTGTAAAATTTAGATATCTTGATAAAATCTGCTACACATATTACTTAGCATCAAAAGAAAAATGGTATGAAGATGGATAAACTGTAATACAGTACAGAGAATCTCAGTAGAAAGAGGCATCTGAGGTTTGAAAGTTAAAACAAAATTTTTTAATGGCTATGGTTCATTTCTAATTGTTGTAATGTGCATATCTCACAAACCGCTAAAGATATACACTTGTATGTATTTCTAGCATCTTTTTATATACTAAATAAATACGTCCGCATCATTATATTTCACACCCAAGATGGTATGAAGAGTTAAATAGGAGCAGGTGTCCAAATGGACAATGAACGTGGCACTGCCCACCTTTAAGTGAAATCGTATATCTCAGGATCTAATAAAGACTTCGAACCAAATTCGGTGAATAACATTATTCTGAAGTTTTTATGATACACTGTGAAAGTGGGGAAATTGGACTACAACGACGCCTACTTCCTATATGTATATCAAAATTTTAAATTCCACATGATTTTTCACTTTAATAGAATATAAATCAAGCACCAATGAGGTTATAGTCGAGGTCGAACCAAAACTTTTTAAATCTCCAGATACCGAATACCTGAAAATGTCAGTCAGTTGCGAGTTATCTTCATACAATTTTTGGAAAAATGTTAAACCTTGCTCTGTACCTCATGTCTCTAATATAATGATTTTAGATTATCTGATTGACGTTTTCTTCACATACCAATATACCAATAAATTTAAGACCTTACATACTTATGTATACCCTAAACAGGCTATATTAAATTTGTCACGAAGTTTGTGACACCCAAAGGGAAAATTCGGAGACCTTATAAAGTATACATATGTATGTATATGTACATATGAACACACAAAAAGTTATTACGGTTTTTTTTGTAGCACGATTCGTGAGCCACCCTGTACAGACATACATATCTTGTATTTCTTGTTTATACGAAGTTGCTCAGGAATCACTCAGCGAAGTTAACGACGATGCAGAATTACTGAAACGTGTAATGACAGGTGACGAAAAATGGGTTGACGGATATGACATTGAAACGTCTCCATATTATCATTTCTTTTAACAAACTAAAATCGCTAAAACGTCTAAGCTTAGGGCTGCCCGGACAAAGTAAGCAATGAATACAATGTTCAAAATTTTATTGTAGTACTTCAGAGGCAATTTGACAATTGGACTCTCCAATACCATGATTTTAATATATCATAAATCATGGGTACATACGTTAGTATATTGGACCGCTTTAATTATACCAATAGCAACAAAGGTATTTTCTAAGGATTCTTTAAGAATATTGTGTGTACTGTTCTGATTTAAACCGTATTCCAGTGTGGGGCAAGGTCTGGGCTAAAAGTGGGTGAGACAATTTTCCAGTCGCTATTTTCTAAATAGTTTTTAACTGATCTTACAACATAAGTTACTTCGAATCTAGTCGCAAATTCCGGCATTTATTGGCAATCGCTAGCTTCAACTTGATGCGTTACTGTCGGTAGCGTTCCCCATTAATGGTTTCACCCAGCTTAGAAGATCCTAATACAAAACGCCCTTCTGATCCCACCAAATACAGAGTACTTGGCATCATGGATATTCAGCTTTGTCGTTGAGTTGCCTAGTTTGCCAGGTTTCTCATATGTTTTTTTTGGGTTTAGGGTTATCAGAATGGACGCATTTTTTAACATTTTTGTAGCGTTCAAGCAGCACTTCTAACATGCTATCATCTTTCAACGCCTCTTGGTACCACATTATATGACATCCAATTTTCTTGCTTTGGATATAACCCGTAGCTTATAAACGTGTTGAAATAGCTGCTTGTGAGACTCCGTGAGTTCTTCTTGTACTCGATGCTGTGAGCTTGTATTTAGCAACAATATTCATCGAATAATGCTTCCAGTTCCTCATCTTCAAACCCAGGAAGTACTTCGTCTTACAAGCCAAAATCACCATTTTAATCATGCGCACCACTTTTGGCACCACAAACTTCCACCCAAATACGATTACTTCATAACATTCATATCACTCACACGAATTTTCCATATTTTTGCTAACAACAACCCACCATATACTTCATCCTCGTTTCCAATATTTATAAGCGATTTTTGCAATTAAGTTTAAGGCTCTACCATTTCAGAAACTTCAGAAAGGCACTTGATTTTATAAAAATACATGTACATATATAGGAATAAATTTCATGTTTGTTTTTATAAACTGTTGCATGTCACGAATACAAATTTTATAACGGATTGGCTTATTTAAATATGTCATTCTTTCAAATATCATCAAACAGTTATAGTTGCTATGTGTATATATTTTTAGTGAAAATAAAAACTTGATTTTAAATTGAAATATTTTGAAAACTAAAATAGGTTTTTATATACAAAACTACTTCATAACATCTTTGATACAAATTATTATTGATTGCTTACAAGTAAATTACCAGTTTATAGCTTTTTATGATTAATATTTTAAGCTATTTTAAAGATAAAGAGCACAACATAATAAAAGACTATGGCAACCAACCATTTTGAACCAACTTCGATACAAACATGTGACTTCAATGGATGAAAGATATGACCAGTTTAAAATAAGTTACTAAAACTTTTTGATTTTATTCAATATGGTCAGGTGCAAACTTGTACATACACGGCCATTTTTTAACATCGTAAAAAATTAAAAATGTCATTATCTCACGGCGGATTGATGGATATAGATGCAACAGATTTATGCGACGATGTACAAGCTATTGGCAGAAAATTTTCAAAATTACACCACCAGACGTTTTAAATTATATTTGTCCAATCGAATTGATACATATTTATACACATTTACGGAATTACCGGTGTTGCTAACATTTCCTTCGCTAACTTGTGGAGAGCGCCGTTTCTCTAATTGAAATTTGCATATGTACCTACGCTCAACAATGTGTCAAGAAAGACTGGCACGCTTGGCAACATTATCAATTGAAAATAAAGTGTCTGATTTTAAATAATTAACTTGTTTTAATATTATTTGTATAATTATAAACTTTAGAAATATATAATATATGTTAAGATTTTCAATATGAGTGATGTTATTTTTTTAATAAAATTACCGGAATAATTTTCAAAAATTATAATTTTGTTAAATTTTTATGTTCCCATAGGCTTAAAAGGGCGCAGAATTTGGTATTTCTTTAAGGCGGTAAATTGTCTCGGAACGGCCCTGTGAGCATATGCATATACATACATACATACATAAATCATCTAACGCTTTCCACATAACAATTTTAAAATACTTTTATAATATACTGTCGAAGTGTCAACCAGTGCGTTGAATATATAAGTAACTAAATTTTACTTTGTGGACTTTGTGACACATCCCAGTGAGCAAAAATTAAGTGGATATTTTTGAATACCGAGGGGTCAACAATATAGCAATGCAATTTAAGGTTTTCCTTCTCGCTACTTTTTTTTGTTAGAAAAAATTAAAATTATGTCCAAAACTTAGCAAATGATAAAAGAAATAATTTACTTTTGGACCGAAATTATCGTTAAATTCCCTTCAATTATAGCGTAAGAATAACAGTTTATTAAACACTTTTTATTCTTCATAATATAAAATATTATATTTATGTTTTACCGACTAATTATTTGAAAAAATAAGAGTAAACTAAATGTGTCAAGTCATTTTCTTCTTATGGTAATTTTATATTTAATAAATATGATTTTTCAATAAAACTCAGTAGCACAAAATTCTGTAATCCATCGTAATGGATTTAAATTAAAATCATTCATAATCGGAGTCTACTCTATTTTATTGCTTTTTCTTTTTAAAAAGGCAAGTGAATATATTGTAGTAGCATATATACACATTTATATACTTACCCATTTTATTTATGCATATACATATACCCGGTTTTATATTGGCCAATAACATTGGGCATATGTATATATGTATTTATGTGTATGAACATTGAGGTAGTCCTTAAAAGCTCAACTGACGGTTTGTCTTTTCTCGGTGGATCACTTTTTTCTTATACCTATACTACACATTATTTTATGAAAAGTAAATTTTAATTCATTTAATGTGCTACTACACAAAATCCTTATTTTGTTAAAATAAAAGAATAAAATTAATTTATAACTTCGCCAAGAAAGGAAGGGTTTAGGAAATAGAAATTAGAAATTTATTTTTAGGAACACCGTGACGTATGTACATGTGTATGTTTATATACTAAGAAAAAGCGTTTACTTCGAACCAGGACCGAAGCTATATACCTTCACAAAAGATTCCTTAGAAGAACTTGATTTGAATCAGTCAGTTTGATTGGCAGCTATATGCTAAAGTGACTCGATCTGAACAACTACTTCGTAGATTACTTCATTGCCTTAGACAATAATTCATGACAAATCTCTTAAAGATATGTATCTCGTTAAATTAAAAAGTCTTCCAAACATGCACTTGGTCCAAATTGGCAATTCCGACAAATGAACAGCTTTTTGGAGAGAAAGGACGTGTGCAAAGTGTCAGATCGATGTATCAAAATTGGGGTCTAGTTCGAGTATATAGAGACAGACAGAGAGAGGACGGATGGTTAAATGAATCAGCTCGTTATGTTTTTATATACATTTTAAGGGTCACTCACGTTTCTTTCTGGTGTTTACAAACTTTGTGCCAAACTTAATATACCCTGTTCAGGGTATAAGAAATGAATCACATATCGATACTTATTTAGATAACATCTATGTAGCTCTTATATAGCTACGATGTATATGTATATGTGTAAACACGTGCAGATTTTATGTATGTAGGTATATAGTATACAAGAGAAATTCGAAAAAACGCCCTAGAAATATCTTAGACGTTTCTGAGAAATTGTACGCTGAATAATGAGGAAGTTCGATATATGTATCATAAAGTGCCTCGAAATTCTGAGTAAACTTTACCCAATTTTTTATTTCTCAATAATAGTGTAATTCTGAAATTTAAAACCAATTATAATGAATATCTATTTGAAAGCTGAAACGAATCCAGTAGGTTGGGTATCAGATCAACAATTAATTCAGTATCGTCGTTCTCCATTTGAGTTTCCATCCACACAATATGAATCGTATCAAGAAAATGGAACTAAATATCTTAAAATTTAAAACCGATATCAGACACTCTTCAAGACGAGCTAAACGCATGCACAGGCGAGGTAATGTAAAAAAAAACAGTTTCGTGCTAATTGGATTCTAAAAGCATATCCATTTCAGATCTTTCTTAGTGGCATACCGCCGCAAATTCCTGCAGAATCGGTTGCCGAAATCGCTCGCTAATAGGTGAGATTATATACTGAGATACAAAGTTACTTTCTCTGGGAACTCTCGAGGCTTTGCTTATCTTCAATACATCAATCACACACTCATGCAGCTGGCTATAATTCGGTAAAATTCTGTAATCTTCATAATAACTATTCTCCTAATTTCTTGCCTTTACAGCTGCCTGCTCTTTTTCGACAGCACTCACTACCTATGATTCGCGTACGCCAATCACGAAACTCTTCAAAACTTTTACTGAAGAAACTTATTGCATTTCCCCGCAGAATATTTATGAAATGTTGCATAATCTAATCACGTTTGACAAGTTAGTCGGACGAGAAGTATTCCTGGTTATTTTGAATATCAAATAATATTTAAATGCAATGAAGAGGCAGTTCATGCCCGACGTGATCTCTTACGCACTATTTCCAAATTTGGAAAAATGCTATAGTGGTTTGGGATACTAGTAGTGAAGAAACCGATTTTACAAAAGATTTCGTTAGGTACGAAAGTAGCATCAATGCAGAAAAAAGTACTCTACTATTTTCAACCAAGAGGCACTCAGTACTCTGAATCAATGATCGCCGAAAGTGGATTCCTTTAACTTTAACGAAGTTGATAAAAGAAAATGTATTATCAAGAAATCTGATTACTGAAGCATATTTGTGTGCATACTTTGAAATGATACCTTAATTATAGCTCTATTATGAATTATTATACATGCATGTTATTGTTGAGCTCAATGAATAATATTGTATGAATATTTTTGTTTGTAATAAATTGTGAATTGCGGGTATATGTATGTATGTATGTAATTAAGTTTGGTAATGTATACTTAGTTTAAGTTTGATTGTAAATATTATTACCTGTTACAATATACATATGTATGTATGTACATACCTATGTATATAAATCAGTATGGCGAGCTGAGTCGATTTAGCCATGTCCGTCTGCCTGTATATACCGAACTAGTCCCTCAGTTTTTACAATATCGATAGCTGTCATACAAACTGGCTGGGTCAAAATCAAGTTCTGTAAGGAATCTTTTGAATTTGTGAATGGTATTACAGCTTCGTGCAATAAAAAGCTGACGTTTTTTCTTGTTTGTGTGATGCTGTGGTATAGAAGAATTATTGCACTCAAGTTTTCCTTTCAGAATAACTGTTAACCGTTGGTATGAGAGCAAGTGTGGTTTTCTCATCATCAAATCTGAATAATCGTCCGTATCTGGACATACATATATTATAGTTTTTCGATCTGGCCAATTCCGACATTTGATCTATAGAATATCAAAATGCACACATCTACTTATGTATTAAATTTCTTTCGGATATCTCAAAAACTCACGAAGAAATTTTTATAATCCCTAAAAGATAAACTTCGCTTTAAAATCGCTGACTCAAAACCGATTTAAGACCCATAGTCTCTCAGGAATAGTCAAGTAATTCGTAGAATATTTCACTGTATTTGAAATATATGAACTAAAATGTGAAATTTTTTATTAATGTCAGTTGATTCAACACACTTATAGTGAATACACCGTTCTTTAATTGTCAAAGCATATTTTTTGTTTTGCAAATATCGATCGAAATTGTTGGTAGAACGAAAATTTTACAAGCTTATCGAATATTTGGTCGGATGTTCTGCCAAAATAAGTGCGAGTGCAAAAAATGGAAGCCAAATTCCGAAAACAAAGGACGAAAAGAATCTCTTCGCGGTCCCATGTGCGGAAAGTTGTGTTTTGCCTAAATAAAAGCCATTTCATAAGTAAAAAAAAAATTAAAGATTAGTTAAATCTAGTGTTCTGCATCCACTATAAGAAAACAAGTTGATAACAGCTAAACTTTCGGTAGCAGCCCAAGAAAGAATCCACTACTTCAACCCCGGCATGGGCAGGTCGGAGCTCAATTCGTTGAGAGCACCTGGATTGGCCAGTTGAAAAATGGCGCAATTATTGTGGTCCCACGAAATTCTCTCTCTATTTTACAATTTTTCTTCGATCAAAGCGAAAAAGCAGCCAAAGCGGCTGAAAACATTAATTTAGTTTATGGGCCCGATACTGTAAACGAACGTATAGCACAAAAGTGATTTGTTAGGTTCCGTTCCGGTAATTTCGATGTCAAAGATGCACCATGCGTCGGGAGGCCTGTCTTCGATAATTGCGATAAAATCATGGAAATAGTGGAAACAGATCATCACGTGCTGAGGAACTAAAGATAAGCCAGAAAACCGTTTGGAACCATTTGCATAACCTTGGATTCAAAAAGGAGCTCGATGTTTGGGTGTCACACGAACTAACGAAAAAACATGATGGACCGAATTTCCATCTGCAAATCGCTGCAGAATCGCAACAAAATCGACCCGTTTCTGAAGCGGATTGTGACTGGCGATGAAAAATGGGTCACTTATGACAACATCAAGCGCAAACGGTCGTGGTCAAAGCTCGGGGAAGCGGCCCAGATGGTGGCCAATACCTGATTGACGGCCAGGAAGATTTTGCTGTTTGGTGGGATTGGCAAGGAATCATCTACTGCGAGCTGCTCCCCTATGGCCAAACGCTCAATTCGGCCCTCTACTGCCAACAACTGGACCGCTTGAAGGGAGCACTCATCCAGAATAGGCCATCTTTGATCAACAGAGGCCGAATTGTGTTCCATCAGGACAACGCCAGGCCACACACGTCTTTGGTGACTCACCAGAAGCTCCTGGAGCTCGGATGGAAGGTTCTAATGCACCCACCTTATAGTCCGGACCTGGCACCAAGTGATTACCATCTTTTCCTGTCCATGGCGAACGCGCTTAATGGTGAGAAGTTGGCCTCAAGAGAGGCCTGTGAAAATTGGCTTTCCGAGTTTTTTGGCAATAGGGACGCAGTCTTCTACGAGAGGGGTATAATGAAGTTGGCATCTCGTTGGCACAAGTTTCCGAACAAAACGGCGCATATTTGACTTAAATCGGACAAATGTACACAAAGTTATCATCTTTTGAAAAATCAATAAAAAACCGAACGAACTTTTTACATTACCTAATATTATTTACCTTCATTAGATCAACTGAAGGTGAAAATATTAGAAGAACTATTAGAAAGTAGTGGAGCTGAAAAAGTGTTTTCAGCAAAAACAAAAAAGAGAGAACCGAGAATGATGGAAGGTCAAACTACAGTGGTGACAGCGGCAAAATCTTCAGCATCAGCAGCATTACGAGCGGTAATTACAACTACAGAAACAATGCAATTCGAAAGAGAAACATTCAATGCTATGCATGTGGATGGCGCGGTCATGTAAGGTCAGAATGCAAAGGTAGGTCTGCACAAGCAAAAGTAATGGCATAAAAAGTACATTGCGCAGAATGATCTCGGTGTTTCCCGATTGTAGAAATACATCATTTACTTACATTCTAATATTTTGTCGGTCAGCAAATAAATTAGTTATTGATATTGTGTGACATTTGGTAAAAATACAGAGCGTGTGGTAGATAGCTACGGTAAAGATTATTTTGAAGCTAAATTAAGTGCTGGTAGATTTTTTGTTAATATGAAAAAAGGAGAGACCGTGTATTAACAGCAATTTAACTTGAAGAGAATAAACGTTGGCACTCGCGATTTGGTCATTTAAACTTTCATGGTTTGGCAACATTATCAAAACAAAATATTGTGCGCGGTATGAAATTAAATTTTACTAACGAAATTTCCTGTGTTATTTGTGAGGAGTGTAAAATAAAGATTAATCAATTCAAAACTAATAAAAATATTTTCACTAAAAATTGCTTGGAACTTATTCATGACATTTGTGGACCGATGCGTATATCGTCTCAGAATAGTTCAAGGTATTTTATAACCTTTATTGAAGATTTTTCCAGGTATATTTCTAGCTATTTATTAAAAAAGGAGTCTGGAGGAGGCTGCGTGCTTTTAACGATTGTGTAACGCGGCCAGAAAACCGAACCGGGCAAAAAGTAAAAAATATTTGCAGCGACAATGGGCGCTAATATTTGAGTGGCGAATTTCAAAATTTTATAAAAGAAAAAGATATAAACCATCAACTTACAACAGCAAAACGGAATTGCAAATCGGGCTAATAGGACTTTAGTGGAGATGGCTAAATGTATGTTAGCTGAATCGAAATTGCCTCAGTGAATGTGGACAGAAGCTGTCAATACAGCTACGTACTTGAGCAACAGTTCTCCTACAAAGCTGCTAAAGAAAACTTCATACGAATGCTGGTTCAATAAACAGCCATATGTTTTTTACTTGAAAGGTTTTGGGTGCGATGTCGTGTATTTAGACAAAGTTGACTATAGTAATACTTACTTACCAGTAGCATAGTACTCTACATTCAGGCTAATTTTAGCATTTTTAGCGTTTATTCGTCAACCACATTGATATTGTGGCAGCGTATCTCAACGGGGAAATAGAATAAGAAGTTTATATGCGACAGCCGGAGATGTTTGTAGATAAAGCTAATCCACACAAAGTATGTAGGCTCAAAAAAGCGTTGTACGGGCTAAAGCAAGCAGGTCGGGAATCGAATCGTAAAATCGACGACATTTTACGGAGCATTGGGTTTGAAAGAAGTTTCACCGACGGTTGCGTATATCATCGTATAAAAGCTGATAACATCACCATTATAGTATTATACGTTGATGATATGTTGGTAGCATGCTTTTCAGAAAAGCTGATAGAAGGCATAGTATCCGACGCATAAATCGAGGCCCAATCCAGTATTTTTTAAGCATTAATATTTCGTGAGGCTCTCAATGCGGAAATATTCAGCCTGATCAATTTCGCTTTACAGAGGAGCTATTGAATGAATGGGGTATGTTCGATTATAAATTGACATCAACTCCGTTGCCATGTTGAACGGTCTTAAATAAGTGCAAAAATAAAAACTGTGAAGTTTTCGACACACAGACATATCAGAGTCTCATTGGATCATTGACTCACTTAGCCAAAGCATGTACTTCGTTATCTAAAAAGCACAACGATCCGATTCTAGCGGCTATGCAGTCTTCTGTGCTAGCAGTCCGGTAGCGTGGAAGTCAAAGAAACAAACAGTAGTAAATTATGCTACCAAATTTTTCTCGGACAACCAAGGTTCGCAATTTGCAGTTAAAAATTCAATAGTCCACAAAAGGAGC